AGAGAGAGAGAGAGAGAGAGAGAGAGAGAGAGAGAGAGAGAGAGAGAGCTGAATATGGCTGGTGCAGAGCGTGATTACAGTTAAAAACTCCCAAGCCAAAGAGTAAAGACATGGCCCATTGCTTAAAAACACTGGCTACTCTTGCAGAGGATGCTGGTTTTATTCTCAGCACCCACATGTTGGCTCATGACCCTGTGTAACTCCAGTTCCATGGTGTACATTCCTTCTGGCCTCTGTGGGCAACACACACACACACACACACACACACACACACACACACACACACACACACACAGCAGGCATTCATGCTGACACAACAACCTGAAACTGTCCAGCTCCCTCACCCTGTCCCCAGCTCCCTCACCCTGTCCCCAGCTCCCTCACTTTGTCCACAGCTCCCTCAGCTTGCTGTGTCTCCTTCAGACTATCCTTAGCTTCCCATGTCTCTGTGTTTCCCTATGTGGCACCAGGTACTCACTGAGCACCTATGAAATGCCAGGTCCCGTGATTCCCAGCATGCGTTTCTACTTCACGATGTATCTGTACCATGAACATCCTTCAGTTTTCCAGATGAGGGAGTTTAAGGCTCAAAGTTGAGTAGGCAACTGCCCAGGTCTCTTAAGGAAAATAAAACAAACAACTGAACTGTGATGGGGACTCAGACCTATCAGAATTGATGAATTAGTGCTTTATTGTGACTTACAAGCATTTCTCAGAGGGAGTCACTTCAAACAGGTACAGGGGATGTAGGGATAAATTCACCAGTGGAAGAAAAGCTTAGAAGCCAAATCTTTCCCCTCCCTGTCTCCTCTCCTATCCAGGTTCCCCCTCCCTCTGCCCCCCTACCCCATGATTGCTTTCTTCTCCCTTCCAAGTGGGACCAAGGCATCCTCTCGTGGGCCCTGCAGATTGTTAACCTTCAGGAAGCCATTTCTAATTTCCACTACCAGTGTTCATTCTGGGGCTAAGAAGTCTGTTTCTTAGGAGATAGGGTCTCATTAGCTCAGGCTGCCCCAGGATTCACTATGTAGCTACCATGCCTGGGCTATGCTGTGCTGGAGATGGAACTTCATGCATGCTGGGCACTCAGTCTCTCAACTGAGCAACATGCCCAGCCCAAGATACCTGTGTATTGTCAGTAGTCCTGTCTTGTTGTTGCTTATCTATCCATGGAACCCTAAGAACTTTTTCTCCTCACCTTTCACTCTCTTTTGTCTGTCTGTCTGTCTCATTTCTCTATTATAGGTTTGTCTGTCCACATTCTGTATTATCTGGCTCTTGAAACAGACTGGGTTTGTCACCTGACTTCTAGACCACAGTGGGCTGAGAGGCAAGAAGTCAACCTTTCTGTGCTTTCCTACTTTCACCAAGATGGAGGAGTGACAGCAGTAGTTTACTTATTTTTCCTCACTTAAAAGATTAGTTATTTGAGAATTCCATACAAGGTATTTTAGTCATGTTCAAACCCTAGCACCAGCTCCTCCAAGAACAGAGGTTCTCAACCTGTGGGTAGAAACCCTTGTGTGTGTGTGTGGGTTGGTTGAATGACCCTCTCTCAGGGTCGCATATCAGATATCCTGTGTATCAATTATTTACATAAAGATTCATAACAGTAGCAAAATTACAGTTATGAAGTAGCAACAAAAATAATTTTATGGTTTGGGGTGGTCACCACAACATAAGGAATGTATTAAAGGGTCACATTGTTAGGAAAGTTGAGAAGCACTGTATTAGAAACACTAATAACCACTCCACTCTGTGTCCTCTGTTTCACCTCTTAAAATCCCTTCAAGTCCAATTTGGGCAGCACCAGTCTATTGTCTGGGGAGGACTGAGTGTATTATGCTGTGTAAAAGATAACATTCTTCTCCATCATGTTCCCGGGGTTGGAATGAGAAGGTCTGAGCTGACCAGATAAGACTGTGGGTTCATAAAAGTCCAAGGTGGCATCTTGCCAAGTTCATACGTGTGCAAAGGTCAGGCGAAGTCTGTTGGCCCTGTCTCATGGGGTCAGAAAAGTTTGTACTGTCTCTATCTGACCTCCCCACCTCTGATTTAGCCATCTCTACCCAGACCAGGACTGTCAGTAACAGGTCTGTTTGCCTTTGCAAGCTGTTGCTTGCTTATATCCCCTTCCTTGAAAGATCCCCTCCTCCTGCCTGGTCCCTTACCAGCTGCTTAACTTCTGTGGTGTTCTAAATGAAATGCTCGTACATAAAGTGTAAAGTCACACAAAACAGAAAACTTACAATGCTGGTCTTTCTGGGTCTGGATTACCTCACCCTAGATGATCATGTCTAGTCCAACACAGTTATCTGAACATTTCACAGTTTAATTTTTAAACAACCGAATAATATTTCCCTGTGTAAACAAAGCACATTTTCATTATCCATTCATCACTTGATAGGCATCTTGGCAAGTTCCAATTTCTGGCTGTTATGAGTAGAGCAACCACAGACATGGGTGAGCAAGTATCTGTGGTAAAATGCAGAGTCCTTCTGGTACATGCCCAAGAGTGGTATAGCTGGAGCCTTGTGGTAGCTCTACTTTCAGCTTGTTGAGGAACAGCCACAGTGATTCCCACAGTGGCTAGACCAGTTTGTACTCTTATCAGCTGTGAATAAGTGCTCCCTGTCTCCTGAATCCTTACCAGCATCTGCTGCCATTTGCTTTATTACACTTGGCCACTCTGGCTGGGGTAAGATGAAGTCTCAAAGTACTTTCTTCACGCTCTTCCTCCTCCCCCTTTTTCTTTAGAAGAGATTATCTTGAAGCAGCTGTCTTGGTCTTGTGGCTCTCACAATGTCCCTGTGATGTTCCTTGAGCCTTAAGCACAGAGGTTGTTTTTTAAGTGTATTTATTGGGGACATGTGCACCACAGTCAGTTGATCTCTGAATGTGGATAGTTGTTTGTTTCTGTAATGATCTCAAAGGAACCTCTTGATGAAGGGTCAGAGATGCACTTACCCATGGAGAAGTTCGATTTCTTTTTTTCAAAGTACTTTATTTGTGTCAATGTTTTGCCTGTATGTATGTCTGTGCACCACTTGCACGCCTGGACCCTGCCGAAGCCAGAGGAGGGTATCAGGTCTTCTGAGAGTGAAGTTACAGGCAGTAGTGAGACACCGTGTTGGTCCTGGGCATCAAATTCAGGTCCTTTGGAAGATCAGCCAGTGCTCTTAACCTCTGAGCTATCTTTCCAGCCCCCCCCCCCCCCCCACTCTGCGTGACATTTATAATATGCATGAAAGGAAAATGTATGAAAAGAGTAGCCCAAGGGTCTGGGGTGTTCTCATCTACTGCAGGGTTCTCATGCGTCACATGAAGTGGTACAACATCATTAGAAGGCCGGCTGTGATAAATTAAAGACGTAATCTATGAAAGATGTATACTATGAACCCTAAAGCAATAACAAAAAGGACAAATAGTAAGCCAAGAGGAGCCATAAAGGCGCCTGATAAGTTGAAGATTTATACTTTGTACCTTTATAGTAGTAACAACGACAACAGAACAGGGACCTGTGGTGAGTAGACAAGATTATAAAACGGAATCATGAAAAATACTTAAGACTAAAGAGGATAAGAAAAGACAGAAATGAGATGGGGAGAGAACGTATGGGACAAATAAATTGCATTGAGACTTACACCCGATAATGTCTATACTCGTTGGATACAAAGTAAAACTACTATTACTATTAAGAGCAGTTCCTGTGCACATAGTGTTCATCATAATTACACCTGGAGAGCCAGTAAGTTATACAGGGAACACGGAATGAAGGAAACACGTCGATCTGGTAGGTGGTGCCAATGTCAATGTACAGTTGACATTGCTTACTGCTTGCTAGGGTGTGTTTTTGGAACTGTCCCTTGGATGTAAGATTTCTAGGGAGTCATGAACAGATATGTATTAACCCCAACTAGGGCAGCACAGCAACAATATTTTTAAACCTTGCAGCTTGGTGAACCAGTGAGTTTATTGGAGGTTACTTACAGGAGCACAAGTAATTCAAAGGCAGCTTTCTCCTCACCACCCCTTCCCAAACCCGCTCTGGCACAGGCAATGATTCATCAAAGTTACATCCTTGGAACAACTTGCAGGCAGTAGGTACACTGGAGAGTACCTCCATCCATATCGGCAGCTGCTTACTGCTTACATAACTTCAGAGAGGGTTTTGTGAGTTCTATAATTTTTTGAGTTTTCCGGGCCTTATGCCTTTGCCTAGCTACTGTGTTTCCTTCTTCTCTCTTCCTTCTGGGAGAGAATGTTTCAAGTCCCAGGAAACAGTTACATTAACATGTCTAGAGACCCTTGTGTCTAAAGGCTTGGTCCCCAGGCTGGTGCTATGCGGGCCTTTAAGAGGAGGCCTCAGTGGGAAGACTTCATGGTTGTTCTCACACTTAGAGAGTAGTGAAACCCTAGTCCCTTTCTCTTCTTTTCTGGGTGAGACCGTATCTGCAATATGCTTTTGTTAAGATGTGCTGAATGCCCTGGCTTCATCCTTGGCATCCTCACCTCAGTAAAAGACACTGAGCTGCACATACGTTAAATTGATTTTTAACAGTTACAAAAACCATCTGGAGGAGAAATTACATTTCAGCAGATACTTCTGGAAGATTGGATATCCATTCGCCAGAGAAGGAATGTTGATTCATGCTTGCTGCCATTCGCAAACACTGACTCAAAATGAATCACAAACAGAAATGAAAGGCCAAACTATAAAACTTGTAGAAGTGTCTGACATTTGTGGTTGGGTGTAGGGAAGACACTGACCACACAATTCATGAAGATAAAGGTAAATGGAACTTTATAGCTCTGTAAATGACACTGTTGCTAGGTGCCATGGTATATGCCTTCAATCCTAGTCTCTGGGAAGCAGACACAGGAGAATCACCATAACTTTGGGACCAGCCTGTTCTATATAACAAACACAGGCTAGCCAGGGCTGCACAGTCAAGGGAAATATTTGTTGTAATTTGAGATGCATTCTGTAACTTGAAATGTTTGCTTCCATGTCCACTTATCAACTTACCAATTATTTTAAAAAAAGGTTTACGGAAGGGACTGTGGCCGAGTTGATAGAGTGATTGCTTAGCATGCATGAAGCTGGGATTCAATCCCCAGCACCCCATAAACTTGGTGGTGGTGCCCACTTGCCTCCTAGCATGTAGAGGTAGAGGCAGTTCAAGATCACTTTTGGCTACAAAACAAATTCGAGGCCAGCATGTGATAAAAGATCTTTCATCTCAAAAAGTAACAAAATCCAACAATGATCATGTTGGAAAGTTTCCACCATTTTCCTGTACTATCCAAATGGCACCAAAATCAGCGATAATAGAATTGCCTAGAGCAGGCTATCAACTTTTATGCTTTGGTAAAGTTATACCTTCAAAACTCCTTGTTTAAAATGTGAAGCAGATTTTTTTCTATAGTTGTATTTTTTTTTGGGGGGGGTGTAAGTGATGATGTGACTGATTCTCTCACCTTTGTCTTTCCCCGTTATCTAAGAATAGAGTGAGCAAAAATGAAGGGCAACAATAAACTTTATTTACCTCACTGGAATAACTGTTTAAACAAGAAAGCCTCTTCTGAGACCTCCGTGGTGGCAGAAGGATGCTGACCAGGAGAAATGGCAGACTTTGCAGCTCTGCGCTCCTAGTCACCTGACTTTGGGAGGTCTCTAGAGCTGGAGCCAGCTGCAGAAATAAATTCCTATCGTCACCCTAGGGATGGGCAGAAATGAGCACCGGCTGCCTGTGGCCACAGGTCGAGTCCCACAGGCTTGAGTGGTGGGGTTCCAAGCAAGCCCCTTTTTGGGACTGATGCCTCCTTGGTGGACTGTCGACTGCAGGGCTCCTTCTCTATAGAGAATCTGAAAGCTCTGCCCACAGCCAGGAGCCAGGAGCCTGTACGAGAGCCAGATGTGGGACTGGGAACCTTCTTTCTCCGACAGTTTGAGGATTTTATTGCTCCAGAGCATGTACAACCCAAATTTATAGGACCATCTGGAGCCTCTGATTGGCTGAAAGCATACATATGCAAATAAGGTGAAAATGGAACCAATCAAAGAACAGTTGTCAAATCTGGAGGGATACAGGGAAACTAGTTCACAATCAGGTCTGTACTTAACCCTCCTTGGCAGTGGTAGAGAAGTTGACACTTAACTGTCAGTTCTGGCTCACCTTTCCCACGGAGCTGCCTGGGGTGGGGGTTCTTCATTCACTCCAGCCTTCCAGTTGCTGCTGTCACTATGGTCTCACACTCGGCTGTCCACCATTACCTGTCGCCTTCTGCTTCCCCACTTACTCGACTGTCCATCATTGCCTGCCACCTACTGCTTTCCCTCTCAATTCACAAGGCAGCACTGGTTGGGTTTGTGTTTCTCTCCCAGTGACCTCATTTGACAGGTTGGGTTGCTTCACAGCAGGTTGTCAAATGGCAATCCAGAGCAGTTAGAAGTCCTACCTCATCTCTCTTCCACAATGCCTTATTAGGTTCAGGGATTGTGTTGTTGTTTGTAGTTTACTTTATTCTGTTCTCTCTAAGGTGTAGCTGTGTTGACACCTCTGACTTCAGGGCATTAAGAGCAAAATTGGAAGCTAGAAGCCATACCCTGGTAACAATCTTCTGACTTTCTATATTTCTATATTTCTATCTTATGGTGCTAACTCTACAGCAAGAGAATTGGACAAACGTATACTTAAAAAAACCATTCTATTGAATCTTTTTCGTGAATTTCACATCATACACCCCAATCCCACCTGTCTCCCTGTTCCTCCATATCTGCCTTCTATCCTCGAAGCCTCCGCCCTTCCAAAAAAAAAAAAAAAAACAACCCAGAAAATAAAAGATAAAAAGAAACCATGTCACTTTGGAAGCTGTGGTGTGTTACAGCGTGTCCCACAGTATTCCCCTCTGTCCACACATCTTTACTTGCAGTGAGTCATTGCAAAAGTTACTGGTCTGGTTCGAGGCCTCTGGCTTCGGCTACTCTGTCAATGCTGGATCCGCACTGGGGCTCCTCTCAGATCTCCTGTTGTTGCTGTGTCTGGGAGATCCTGAAGCTTTGGTTCTGCAGGACTGGCCCCTTCTCATGCTCCAGCAGGTCATAGATAAGGTTGATGTTGGGGTGGGCCAACTCAAAGCCCTGGATCTGGGCTTGGGTGGTACTGAGTTGGTCAGCCTGTCAACTCTCCTGTGCCCATGCACCCAGCGCTATCTCTCCTGCTTTGCCCAGGCCAGGGGTAGGCAGCTCTTCTGCCTGTAGAGGCCTACAAGGGACAACACCAGCTCTCCAGCTGCACTCATACCATCTGAGCCAGCTCTCCTGGACACAGGCCACCAGGGCCAGCTCTCCTGGACACAGGCCACCAGGGTCAGCTCTCCTGGACACAGGCCACCAGGGTCAGCTCTCCTGGACACAGGCCACCAGGGCCAGCTCTCCTGGACACAGGCCACCAGGGCCAGCTCTCCTGGACACAGGCCACCAGGGCCAGCTCTCCAGCATTGCCTCAGCAAGAGGCAGAATCAGCTCACCCAGACTCCACAGCTGGTGATGCAGGGCAAGCTCTCTTGTTCTTACGTCCTCAGGCCTGGTTCTCCTGAGCCCACACCACCAGGGCCAGGGCCAGCTCTCCTGGGATGGCCAGACAAGGTGAGGGGCCAAGGTGAGGAGCCAGCTCTTCTACACTACCTTGGTGAGGGGTGGGTTCAGTTCTTCCACATCCAATTCACTAGGGGACCTTTTTTTTTTTTTTTTTTTTTGAGACAGAGTCTCACTATGTAACCTTGACTAGATGGAACTCACTAGGTAGACCAGGCTAGACTGCAATTTGCAGAGACCCACCTGCCCCTGCCTCCTGAATGCTGGTATTAAAGGCATGTGTTCCACCACAGGGTCACACACGTTTATGCGTTTCATCGGTGCTGTGATTTATTTCTCTAAAGCTGCCATCATGAACTCTGGCATCAAATCTGTTAAACTCTCTCAAGTTCTGCTGTGGGGTTTTTGTTTCTGTGCTTACAAACTATTTCCTCTGTGACCAATCTGTGTACACTATTAAATGCTTACAAAATGCTCTAAAAGTTTTTCTCTTTAAAAGGATCTCTCTCTCTCTCTCTCTCTCTCTCTCTCTCTCTCTCTCTCTCTCTC